TGACGACTCCTGTCTGCTTTGATTGCTGGCCGGCTATTTATACAAATCGCCGGCCGCAGTCGCGTCGCGTATGTCCCGTTGTCCTTTGCGCTTTGTTCTTTATTGCCATCGTGCTTAAAATGTAGGTACAGTTGTATTTATGTATATGATTCTAGGAATTATAACGGTAGTTCAAATCGCTTAGTGCTGTACAATATGTGGCTACAATTCAAAGTATGTATTTTCAATACAAAGTATTAAATTACATATCCAAGCCCTAGGATTGGGGTCCTCACACCCCCCTCCCCCCCTCTACTTCATCGTTTGTTACCGTCACGTCTCCGTTTCGGGAAATTCGAATGCGGTACCAACGCCCTTCAATCTTTCTTCGGAACGATTGTTTCGTTCCTGGCCTTCGTTCTTCTTGGAGATGTCGCCGTAGGCTTTCGGTTAGCTCCGTTGGCAGTTGGGCCTCTCCAGTCAGGTTACGCCAATTCGTTGGGGGGTTTGTGGTTTGAGCCTCGTTCGCGTCCAGCCACCTCAATATTTCTCCCATTAAGTCTTCTTCCTCGGAATGGGAGTTGTGGTTAGTGGCCGCCTCATCGACTTCGCGGAATAAACCCTCGCTCGCCATCAGGCTCATCTCGCCGTCGTCTTGTGTGGTGTTGCTGATGGCCTCGCAAATATACCGCTTCGGTGGTGGTCTTTCTCCTGGGGTAGTTGCGGTGGTTTCCGTAAAAATACGTAGGCGTATGCCCACGTTGCGGGTGTACTCGATGTACCCCTCACCTGCGCGTTGGTTGTCTTCGGCGGTGATATTTACTTCGCCTCGTATTTTAGGCTGGTAGCCATCTTCATCGTCTTCTTCGTCGCTGGAGATTGCTATGGGAGTGGAGGCTTTTTCCAACGCCCCTTCACCCTCGCTGTCTTCTTCTAGTTCGCCGAACCCATCCGTATGGTCGCTGTCTTCGCCTAGTTCGCCGAACACCTCCGTTTCGTCGCCGCTCACTGACCCGGATTCGCTTCCTTCGGTTTCTGGTGCCGTCATCCTCCTCAACCTAACCCGTAAGGAGTCACTTAAATATTCGGCGGAGTATTTGTCTCCTTCGCTGGTACTGTATGACGACATGATGTGTTGTGATTGATTTTCCTTTCCTTGGCCGCCTTTTTATCTAAGCGCGGCACAAGCGGCTGGGTTACGTTGCTGTACATCGTTGTTGTCTTTTGGCTTGTTGGGTGTTGTTGGTTGCGTTAATGCACCTGATCACAACATTTTTCTGCTGCTCCTGTGCCCTAGTTCGTGTGTTGATGTGTGTTGTATGTGCGCTGTATGTAGGTATATATGCATGTACATATGTCGCCCCGTATTTGTCCTAATGCATTTTGCGTATGCGGCGTGCTAATTTGTTTGCGCGCCTGATCGTACCACCTTGGTTTTGCCCGCAGTGTTGGGCCCTGTGCCTTTGTTTTCGTGCTGGTGCATATAGGTATGCATGTATGTGCATATGTCGACGGTATCTTGTTTGCATTTTCCCTTTGCTCGCTTGTTTGTTTACGCGCTGGATCACGCCACTTTGCCGGTGCCTGGATTGCTGATGCTGTGCCTTTGTTTGTTCGTTGGTGTGTAT